AAGCTGAGAGAAAATCTGGGAAACCGTTCTTGCAGTTAGTGTAGAATAATGTTTTATGAACTCTATAACATCACAGTCCAGGAGAGAGTTCTCACTAGGCAGCTGCTTGGTGTAGCTTTGTTCGAGAGAATGAGTAGATGAGAGGATATGGTCCTTCTGGGTCTGGTTGGTAGAAGGAGCTCTTCGTGACGACGATGTTGTAGTCGATGTTGAAGGTCGGGGTGGGAAATAAGAGTCCAACCGCAGCTGTTTGGATGAAGGTAAAGTCTGTGCCAAATCGGGACTGGTTTGAGAGAGAGCTCTTTTGGAATTCCCCATTTAAATTGTAAACTTAGGGGAAGGAGGAAGAAAACAAACCGTTTGCTAGAGTAGATAACAATGGCGTCTTCAAAGTAGACCGGGAGAGGCCAGCCGGAGAAGAAAAACAAAGCACTCCTAGCTTCTGAGATAAGCCAGCAGCAGGACTCCAATAAACACCATAGCCTCTCAGCCAAGAGTGGAAAATTCCATAGTAAGGGAAATACAAGATTACAGACTTGGGAGGGCAAAAGTAAAAGAAAATACCGGAGCTCCGATTCCACGCTGCAGATGGCTCGGACTCCCCTTCAGTTTCCCAGTGGTCTAATCTTGAGATTACGAGCGCATGCACCAAGGTAGTGAGCGCCCCCGTGTCAAGGTAGGGTCGCAGCCGGGCAATCCGCCAAAGATGGAAAAGGCGGCGGAGACTACCGATGCCACCTGCGTTTCCATGGAGAGTGTCGGGTCCAAATGTATGCCCAGGCTGCGGACCCCACTCTTTGCGGCCAGGCTGACCCCCCCAAATGAGAGAGAGTCACCCAAGCCACCTACCATGGGGGCACCCACCCTTAGAATTTCTGTCTTATCCAGGTTCAGCCTCAGCCCGTTCTCCTGCATCCATTGCAGTACGGCCCCCAGGCAGCGCTGAAGGGACAGGACGGCATCACCTGCAGTTGGTGAAAAGATGTAGAGCTGGGTGTCATCGGCATATTGATGACAGGAAGCCCCACATCCCCTGATGACCCCACCCAGCAGCCTCATATAGATGTTAAACAGCATTGGGGAGATGATCGACCCCCGTGGAACCCCACAATTGAGACTCCATGGGGCCGAGACACTCTCTCCAAGCTGTACTCTCTGGGGACGGTCCCCCAAGAAGGAATGGAGCCAGGCGAGTGCCGAGCCACCAATTCCCAACTCGGAGAGCCTCCCCAGGAGGATACCGTGGTCGACGGTATCAAAGGCTGCCGAGATGTTAAGGAGGACCAGCAGAGACATTTTGCCCCTGTTGGGCTCCCTCAACAGGTCATTGTACGGGGTGACCAATGCCATATCTGTACCGTGGCGTGGCCTGAAGCCTGACTGCAACGGATCCAGGGCATCTGTTTCATCCAGGTGGGCCTGGAGCTGATTGGCCACCACCCTCTTGACCACTTTGCTCATGAAAGAAACATTGGCGATGGGCCTATAATTGCCAATTTCGTCTGCTGCCAAACTGGGTTTCTTTCTTATGGGCCTAATGAGTGTCTCCTTGAATGCTCCAGGATACAAATACAAAGGTCCCATGTGTATTAAAATGCTTAAATTTCTTAGAACTTGCTATCACTAAACAGCTCCACCCAGTATTAGAATTTCTATATTTTCTATGGTTAGAGACATGTCTGTTTTTCAAAAATGCAAGAACAATAACCTATTCATTGAAATTGAAAACCTTTGAAAATAATTTCCTCATTGTGATTTGGCATAGTAAATAATTTTACGCCCACCATATTGCAATGTTTGGTTAGCAAACACTGCAGAGAGAATGTTTGCCTTCTTATTCCGAGAAAGTACATCTCCCCACTCAATATATCTTTAAGCCAAAGTTAACTATACAGTGCATTTTGGCTGTTCAAATTTTAGCCAGCTGGAATACCTGAAAAAGTGAAGGCGAAAAGGAGAGACTGGGGGAAAAACAGACAAATTTAGTAGAAGAGTTGCAAATAAGAAAACAGAAAGAATAGGACATGTCAGCTTCAAGTTCAAATGATACGTACATTTCCTATGTAGTTGTACATGTTTCCTGTATCATTCTGAGCTTGAGTGCAGGGTCCCACTCTATATCTCTCTGGCTACACCCACCACTCACCCTGCAGTTGTGTTGCTAAACAAGTAATCACCTGAAATAAATGGCAGTGTAAATTGCAGGCATGAAGAGGCCTAATCTAGGTGAACACTACAGCTTTTGGGAGGAATTGAATCCCTTTTGTCCCTCCCTGCCCCTTATGACTACAAGGAGAGAAAACTTGATCAATAGCCAGAATTACATAGGGAAATGTAATAGGCCTGAAACAGCAATCCAGTATATTATCTCTGCACATTTGTTTTCATTTGGCTGCCTGCTGTGCTGGTATAATTTGTTTTGTGTTTTAATAATTGGTTTTATTGATAAGGTTTGTGTCTGCTGAAGGAGGGATGTGTTTTTCAAATAGGGATGGTGGAGAAGGGGAACAGAGAGTTGTTTTGGAGCAATACAGGGTAGAGGGAGATATAAGGAGGGGAGACAGTTGTATCATTATAGGAGTGGGGGAAGGAAGGGGATACTGGTTACTCCTAAATTGTCTCCCACTTCAGAGAGTTTAAGTAGCCATGGCAATGGTTCCTCTGGGTTAAAAATTCTGCTGCTGAATGCCTGGTCAATGAAACATCAACCATCTAGAACTTGATCCTGGATGATCACATTGACCTGGCCAGTATTACAATGGAGGAAGGGGACTAAGACTCGGGGACTTAGTCTTTCTCAGTTCTGCCCACCTGGGTTCTCTGTGCAGCAGCAGGCCAGGCATGGGAGGGTGGGGAGTTGGAGTAGCCATAGTCTGTTGTGATTCTTTCCCCCTTACCAGGTGCCCTGCCCCACAATTTGCTGAGTTCGAGTATGAAAGCCTAACAGTAGAGCCCCAGGACAGAATAGGGATTGTATTGGTGTACCACCTATCCTGCTGCTCCACAGTCTCTCTTCTTGAGCTGGCAGAATTTGTACTGGAGGTGATGTTGGAGTCCTCTACAACTGTAATACTGGGGGGCCACATTGTCTATGCCAAGGCAAATGTATTAGGAATGGGACAGGGCTTCATATCCCCCATGATGACCATGGGTCTGTTGCAAGTGGTATTTGGCCCCATGCATCCTGCAGGGCACACTACGGACCTAGTCTTCTGTGCAGGTCAGGATCATGTTGATCAGGGTGTAGAGGAACTCTCTGTAGATCACAGATCACTTCATGGTGAGGAACTCTTAAACTCTGCAGGGGTAGAGGACCAATTAGGATAGTCCATCACAGGAGACTGATAGATCTGACTGGTTTTCCAACAGCTCTTGGGAAGTTTCCCATTGCCTCAGCAGGCAATTCTGTCAAAGCCCTGGCTCTGGAATGGAGAAATAGCTATGGCTTTGGACATGATTGTTCCTAAGCATCCCCTCCCATGGACTGGAGCCAGAGAAGCCTCCTGGTTTAACAGGGAATTGGCAGTTATGAAAGAAGTGGGCCAGAGGCTAGAGGAAGAATGATGGAAAACAATGAGTGAATTCAACCAAACATGGGTTAGGGCTTGTTTGAAGTCCTATATGTGATGGGCTGCAGAGAAGATAGGATTCTTCTCTGCTGCCAATGTAGACACATTCAGCAGAATGGTTTTGAATGGTCAGCAGCCTAAAACATGTCCCATCAAAAGAACAAAATGAATCAATGAATTAGTGATTTTTGAATGAATTTTTGATTCATTTTTAAACCTGTACCCATCTCTAATGCAAATATTGGAAAAAATGCTAGTAATATTAGTGGGTAGACTCTGACCCAAGAGACATCTTAGGTGAACACTTTAAACCACAGCTATAGTTTTGCCTCTTCATATGAACAGGGTGTGAAACAAAAAATATGCTTGCCCAAGAAACAGTGACTTTCTGGAGGGAACTCATGGCTAACATCCATAGTACAAAAAATAATAGCTGGGGAGTTTGCTGGATTAGACACAATTACACAGATGTGGATTGTGGTTTGAAAGCAAACAGGAAGTTCAGAGTTGAGAGATTAGAAAAATATTTTTTGCAGTATTTGCATATTTCCCTGCCAAATATGCAAGTATTTGCATATTTCCTTCTCTCTCTCTCTCCTCTCTCTCTCTCTCTCTCTCTTTGTGTGTGTGTGTGTGTGTGTGTGTGTGTGTGTGTGTGTGTTTTGCAGTAGGATATAAAGGCGAGTGACTGCTGAAGAAAAAGCTGAAGTGAAGTTGTTCCACAGCTATAGTTTTGCCTCTTCTTAGGAACAGGTGTAAAACACCAAAAAAAAAAATCCTTGCCTACAAAACACTTCTTTTCATTTTGGCGACTTGTGGTTAATTAATACCCACAGAACAAAAGTGATTGTGGGGAGTAGGTTGTTGGGTTAGTCATGGTTACTCACGGATGTGAAGTATGGCTTGAAAGCAAACAGGAAAGTCTGAGTTGAGAAATTGGGGAATTACTTTTTTTAACATCATTTGCATATTTCTCTGCCAAAAAGAAGAGGTTGATTGTTTGTCTGTGTGTTGCAATAGGATATAAAGGGGAGTGACCTCTGAAGCAAAAGCTTAAGCAAAGCCTTTCCTTGCAGCAGTTTAGAAAAGCAGATTGCACTTAGCCAAGGGCCGGGGAAAACCAAAGGAGGGCTATTGGAAAAGGGTCAGAGCCCTTGCTGAGGGTCCAGGATGGTTTTTCCCCTGGCTCTGCTCCTGCTATGGGTATGTTGCACTGCAGCGGATGGTAAGTAACTGAAATCTAAATGGATACCACCAATTATATTGTATAATACTTGATTGGTGGACAAAAACACAAATAGATTCAAGATGCACAAGAGACAAAACAATAGGCTTTTGTGAGGAACAGACACCATTTGAATGTGAAGGAAAAACTGATCAAAATGTTGTATAATTATCTACTAGAATGAAAAAAGAAAGATGAAATGGTTAAAGAATGTATGATAAAATGGGCCCAAAATGTGGGCCACAATATTAACTTAAAGTCATGGTCACAAATATAGGAAGATAATATTAAGTGAACAAAAGCAATTAATTATAAAGAAAATATGTATAAGATGTTCATCAGATGCAATAGAAAAATTATATATATATAAAAAAAACCAACATAAAACTACCTCTAACAAATGTTGGAAATGCAAAGTAAAAGAATGTAGTTTTTATCATATGTGGTGGACTTGAAGGGAAGTTAAGAGCTTTTGGAAACCAATCCATGAGTTTTCACACACAAAAAAATCCTCTATAATTCCATTTGAATCTCAACTGTTTTTGTTGAATATAATACCAGATTTGATAGGGGAAAATAAGATATTTGATCATACATAAAACTATAGCAGCAAGAATTTTATATGCCAAATACTGGAAAAAAGAGGAGCCTCCAACAATCCAGGAGTTAATAGAAATTTTTTTTGAAGCAGCATAGATGGAAATTTTTAGCTCTCCCCTCAATGTTAGGTATGCCACTACGGCTCGAACAGGGCATCCTCTTACTTTTGCATAAAAGGCCAAGGCTGACATCTTACCTTGTTTTATTATTTATATATTAAATTTCTATCCCACCCATCTGGACCAAGGGTCTACTCTAGAACTAGGCAATAAGCCCTTCTTGTGCAGGTATGTTGCAAATTGTTGCAGATGTTCCACTGGGACTAGCCAAATAGTCTGCAAATCCACACTAGACCTAAATTCTTGGAATTCCGTGCTCACAGCTGAATACCCTGTACGAGTCCTGGGAGCCAATGCCAGCCCTATTGCATGCTTGGCTTCGTCCCACCAATTAGCCAGGCCTCCAAAGAAAGACTCTTGGGACACTTTCTGGATCCTGGCACTAACTCCCTAAACCATTCCATCTGTAGACATGACAGGGCATCAGCTATGCTGTTATCTAGCCCGGGGATGTGTCTTGCCTGCACTACCATGTTAAACTGCAGTGTGCACAGTGTGAAGGCTCTAACCAGTGTCATGACTCGCTTGGGCCGGGATGAAAGCATATTAATGACATGAACCACTGCCTGGTTGTCACACCAAAAGCGCACTATGGAGTTGGCCCACTCTTCTGACCATAGCCTTATTGCTCCCACAATAGGAAAGGTCAGGTCTCGAGTGAGACCCAATTTGTGACTGTCCCCTGAGCATTCGCATATACACCATCTTCCTCTAAAGTAGATACCAAAACCCCATGAACCTGAGGCATCAGTTTGAACTTGGAAGTCTGCGCCCAAGCAAATGTCTGACCTCCAAAACGAAACTCCCTTGAAGCCATCTAAAAGCTTGCTCCAAACCAGTAGGTCCTGCCTCATACCTCCATTACCTCTGGTCCTATGCAAAGGCCTCCTTACACCACTCATGGCCTTGCACAGCCTCCTAAGGAAGTCTCTGCCTGGTGCTACAACTCAGCAAGCAAAGTTCAAATGCCCCAATTTTTCCTGTAATTCTTTGAGTGTGACTTCTTGCCCATGATAACTTACATCCTCTTCTGTAGCTCCCACAGTTTACTGTTTGGGAGGTGACAAACCTGTGCCTGTGTGACTAATTCTATCCCCAGGAAAGTCAAAATTGATAATGGTCCTTCTGTCTTCTCCTTAGCCATATCCTGGAAGACCTCCAAGAGCAGCAAACACTGCCCAGTCCATTTCCCCCCACATACCTAAAAATCAACTAAATAATGGGCCGTGCTGGACAGTTCTGCCCTGTGCCTAAGGTTCTGTTCCAAAAAGGAACTGACATGCTGAAATGCTTTGCAGGAGATAGAGTAGCCCATGAGGAGAGCCCTATAAACTCTCTTGCTGCTGGTTGTTGTTTTCTCCCCATAGAGACGTTCAATGTATTCTCAAAGGCTTTCATTTCTACGGGGTTATTCCTTTGGCCAAGCATTTCTCAATAAGATGTTGGATGATTAGGCACTGATGTATTGTGGACCTCCCTGGCCTGAAGCCCACCTGTTCTAGCACTATAATATTCTTATGTTTCAGCCAGTCTGAAAATCTGTCCAGAAGGTGCCTTGCATAAAGCTTGCCTATAATATTCGACAGCCTAATTGGCCTATAATTTGACAGGTCTTCCCTTTTATCTTTTTTATGGAATGGGACTACTATGGCTGTTTCCCAGGATTTGGGAATATGCCTATATCATCAATGTGAGTAAAAAAGCGGTGCTAGAAAGGAGGCCCGCCACCCCTAATTTTCTTTTTAAAATTCTGGTGGAATACTATTAAGGCCAGGGGCTTTGGCATTTTTCAGTTTCTCCATGTGGAATTTGATCTCGCCCATGGTTACAGGAGGCCATTTAGGGGTATTTTTGGGAGTTATTGCACTGAGGGGTTGAATGGCATCCTCCTATAAACTTGTGAAAAAGGAAACCCATTTGTCTAAAGGCATACATATGGCTGTTTGTGATTTGGGTCCAAACTCAGTTTCCAGAAGAGAGATGAGTTTTTATTTTTATTTTTTTGCCACTTCAATTAGCTTCCCTCATAATTCTCTACTGTATTCTTTCTTAGCCTGAAGTATTAGCAATTTGTATTCTTTTTTCTCCATCAGAAATTTTCTTAGAGTATCACTTTTGGCCCAGTCTAGTGATCTCCTGTATAGCTGGTACTTCCAATTTAATGTTCTTTTTGCTATCGTACAACTTTGATTAAACCATGGTTTGGGTGCTTGTTTACAGTAACAAAGTGTTTCCCTGTGAAAGAAGCAGAAAATGAAAGGATCCTTCATACTGGAAAAATGGATCTGGATCAAGAGTGATTTTATTTTATTTATTTATTTATTTTTGGCTTGGCCACCTGCTGCGATTTGAATGTGTTGAGCACTTCAAAATTGAAGGTTCTGATGAGATTGTTTGTACATCTCAAGGAACCTGGAGTGCACCTGTACCAAAATGTGTAGGCTAGTTAACTGGGGGTCGGGGGAGGGAGAAAGCAAAAGGACCCCGAAATAAAAACAATACATTTAAACAGCTGCAGTCCAAATAGTAGCAGGATTAGCAGAACAAGGAGACCTGAAAAGTGGCATGAAATGTGATTTGTGCTTTTATGGGACTTGTTTGTTTGAAAATGTTTCCACCTGTTCCTATTAAATTTGATCTACCAAGGCACTGATTTAATACATTTGTGAATGTACTGATTGCCTCATTTTAAAAAATAATGGAAATTATGGAGGGTTCTTCATGTTACTGGGTTTGAAAATGGTCCATTTCCAATAAAATAAAATTAAAATTAAATAAAATAAAAAAGACAAGATTTTCTCCTTCATCATGATCCCATGTGTGGGTATGGAGATTTCCTTGGGTTCTAGGAACAAACTCTAAAGTGAAGATTCAGAAATAATTTAATGCTAATTTCCATATTAAATAAGCCTTCTGACTTATTTAAGAAAAAACATTTCAAATAATTACTATGAGATGCTAATGAGAATATTCTGGGTTTTTTTGGTGTGTGTGTTTTAATGTAGAAGTAACCTGCCAACCACAACATATTGATCATGGACGTATACTGGCACAAAGGGCAGTTTATAAGGATGGTGAACAAATACAATTTTCCTGTGACCGTGGATACAGACATGCTGATAGGAATGAAGCAACATGCACTCGGAATGGGTGGAATGGACGACTGGAATGTATAGGTCTGTATGTTTCTCATTTCCAGAGTTGGTGATCTTGCAATTAAACCATGTGCAGATTTAGTCAGCAGGAAGTCCTTCTGAGTTCAGTGAATCTTAATCCTTAACAAGTGTTCCTAGGATTGCAATTTTACTTAATCGGGTTGGATTAAAAGAATGAAAGAGTTATGCTTGATAAATTGAAAAACAGGATCGAAGAAGAAGAATCCTGCATTTCTCTTATATACGGAAGGGAATAGCTTTTCTGCTGGATTGTTAGGAAAGCTAGGAGAAGTGGCAACTGAAAGAGAAGTTTTCTTTCTCCCCCCCCCGCCTCAAAATGAAGAACCCTATAAATGAGAACACACTATTTTGCTTCAAATTCCAGTTCTAGAAGCACAGCAAAATGCTATAGCACTGGGTGATTCTTATTTTAAAAGAAAAAATAGCTGGATGTTTTATAACGGATCTTGTCCACTTCTGACATGACTGGTTTATTCACACATACTGTATTTTAAAATAATGGATTAGAACAAATGCGATGATCAAATGACAATGATCTATGACAATGTGTCATTTCCCCTTCTCCTGCTCCTTCTCCTTCTGCTGGGAGTTGGATGTCACAGCTACTTTGGCCTTTCACGAGGCAACTCTAAATATGGTGGTTGCATTCAATCCAAATTAGTCTCTCATGTACCTCCCATGTATCTTATGGCACAACATGGGAAAGGAGTCCTCTTCCTTCTCATTTTTATTCCTGTGCACTGAATCCAGTCTTATGTGCTCTGTCCCAAAGACTGTAAAATCATTGATATGGCTACATGATGTGTCACAGAAAAATAAAATACAGTGGTGCCCTGCTTGATGACGATAATGCGTTCCAGCAAAATCGCTGTAGAGCGAAATCGTCGTCAAGCGAAAGTAAAAAACCCATTGAAATGCACTGAAAACCAGTCAATGCGTTTCAATGGGGAAAATATCTCATAGTCCAGCAAAGATTGCCCATAGAGAACTGCCGATCAGCTGTTAAAAATCGCTGTAATGTGAAGCTTCTGTCCAGAAAGCAGCCATTTGAGAAGGGAGGGAAGCCATTTTCTGGAGGGAAGCCACTTTGCGGAACCGGAAAGCAGCCATTTGAGAAGGGAGGGAAGCCATTTTCTGGAGGGAAGCCATTTTGCGGAGCTGGAAAGAAGCCCTTTAGAGAAGGGAGGGAAGCAATTTTGTGGAACTGGAAAGCAGCCATTTTGAGAAGGGAGGGAAGCCATTTTGCGGAGCCAGAAAAAACAAGCTCCTAATCAACGTAAAGCGGATTTCCCCCATTGGAACTATTGTTTTGCAATCACAAAATGTCATCATCAAGCAATTTCGACATCATGCGGGGTAAGTGTCTAGTGGGGCACCACTGTACAGAGGACTAATGCTGTGACATTTTAGTTGCTCTACAAGTGGAAATATGGTAAAGGTGATGGCAAAGAAAGAAAATATGCTGCTCAATGCCTTCTTTTCCAAATTTCTTATTTATACTCTGCAGAAATTGTATGCCTGCCACCCCATGTAGGAAATGGTGACTTCCAACCTAAGGAGCTTCAGTTTAGACATGAGGAACAAATTGAGATAGTGTGTCATGAAGGGTTTCAGAGCAGTGACCATTTTTCTGTGTGCACCGAACAAGGCTGGCAACCCCCTGCAACATGTATACGTAAGCATTGTTCTCTTTGTCACTCCTGAATATCTTTACTTCCTGAATGATATGGACCATTATAGTGGAAAGGATGGGAATGGAAGGAAATCTGGAGATCCCTTAATGTTATGGAAGGGATGGGCTGGGGTTGTGCATAGAGGCACAGGAGCTCCCCTTGATGGAGGCCGGGCAATCCAAATTCAGGGGGACAGCTGTTATCTCCCCGCCCCTGAAGTGCAGTTTCCAAGGGACCTGGTCATGTGCAGATTCTCTACATGAACAAGAACTCAGGATTTCCAGAGTACTTGCTCACATGTGGCACTGACACCTCAGCAGGAATCTCCCTTCTGGAGAACCTGTGCTAAAATTGTGAACAACTCATTGGCAGAGGGAGTGGGGCAAGGTGCCCCCCTCTATGCATGTTGACAGTGCTGAGTGGCAGCAGGCCTGAATAGCACTAAGGTCAACATACCAAAAATGCTAGCATGGGAGATCTCTGATTAGGTGCGTGCTATACTCAACAATTGAAGAAGAAAAGAGGAGGCACTATCTGGGCCTGCACCAAACCAGCACGTGCAGGTACTTGTGAGAATCCCAGCAGCAGTTCTTTCCCAGGCTATGAGGGCTTTTCCTACCTACTGAGGTTCTTATTTCTCAAGGAAGGTACTCTGACCAGCTCATGTAGTGCTTGGGGATTCTTCAGTATTCTGACTCTACAAACCACACCCTCATGAATTTGCAAGGCAGAGGGCACAATGTACGGCCTGCTACCAATATGTAGAACCCACACATAATTTGTAGGTGACCATGACCCTTGCCATTAAGTTTATCCTCTGTTGCTGAAAACAGTCTAGGACACATTATTTAGAGAAACTGCTTCTCCAGGTCACTGTAAAACCAGCATCTAGAGGGGCTGTGGTCCAGAAGATGCTCTAGCAGTCAGCATTAGAAATTCTGCATCCTGAAGGAATATCAGAATCAGCATTGAGAGATCCTGCTTCCTAGAGGACAGGGCCAGCTCATGGCCACCAAATTTGGGGATGAGCCCCCCACCTGGTCGCATTTGCTACTCTATGAACCAGCTATGTGCAGAAGAAATTGCTTCTAGGTTTGGAGGGAAAACCATGGTTCAGACAAATGTATATATGGAGGCATAAATATGTTTGTGTGCATGTTTGGATGGTAAAGCATGTATGGGAGTTCTGTGTGTATATGTATGCATGTGGGGAGTATTCTCATTTGTTTTGGCTTCTAACTTCTTTTTTCTACTTCTTTTCCAAAGCTAAGAACTGTGGCTATGTCCGTTTATCAAATGGATATTTTTATTACAATGAACCATTACATTCCTTCCCCAAAAGGCTGGGCTATACAATGGATTATCATTGTAATTCTGGTTTTCTGCCACCAAATAAGGAAAACTGGCAAAAAATTAAGTGCACCAAGACTGGCTGGGATCCAGAACCAAAATGTTTCAGTAAGTAAATGTTTTTCTCGCTTAGCAGGAATAGAAATCACTCTGTAAAAAGGAAACATGTATCTAATCTATATTTGTGGGTAAATGGCAAAAAAGGGTTTGGAACAGAATAATGGAGGTGGCCATTGATTAGGTCATTTCATACACCCTAACTGTGGTTGTAAACATGAAGGTTTTTGAAGATTTCACTTACAACTGGTGAGAGGGAGCTGATTTTAGTAACATTTTGTCTAGAAAGCCAGGTTGCTTGCCACTCCCTATCAAACAGAATACAGTATGTTCATTCTGAAAGCCAAATATGAGGAGAGGAAATATATGGAATTATCCTGTAGAGATAAATATGGTATGTGTAGAGAAAGGATTGTGGGCTTTTCTTAGGGAATGGCATATCCTGTACTGAAGGAAGCTGTTGTTAAACACCATAATTAGAGGGGAGGGAATAAAGTTCTTGTAAGTATTTCTTTGAAACCTGACTAACAAACTCCAGGAATTTTAAAATTCTCTGTGAATTCTTGAAATAAAACTGAGTGTTGCAAAAATGAATACTTGGCACCCCCTTGAGAAAAGAAGATTCTTCTGAAGAGCCCTGAGAGGAAATCAAACTAAGAAAGGGAAGGGAAAAGATGGCTGTTTCCTTTAAAGGACGGCATGAATCCTTTGTATCTGTTCTGTGTGTAATAGTGGCCAACCCACAGGCTAGTCAAGAAGGCCCAGTTCTATTTCTGTTTTCATTGTTACAGCACCTCTGAACCTATATTTGTGATCTCCCTTTAAAGCTGGCTGTGTCAACACACCTTGCTGAGTGATGGCAACACATCCTGGCTGTGTTGATTCCATAACCCTGAGTATATATAAAGTTTGGATCACAACCTTGTAAATACAGTATGGCTCTTTATTTATTGCCTGTTCACTCAGTTTTGAGAGATCAGTTTTGGAGCTCGTTCTAGGCATTTTGGTTTCTCTCTATCTTGAACAATATGACTATTTCAGTGGTCCTCCAAGTTAATTTATGAATAAATTAAATACGACAGTTATGGGGATGTGGATTGAAAAAACTGTCATCTCCAGTTTCGCCACAACATTTGCTGCTTTGGGTATTCACTGAGGGTTTATTGACACCGGAGTGTTGTCTAAGTCTTCACTTGTTCTTGACTTATTCATTCTGGTATTTTGTTGCACATGTCAATAAATCATTCAAATCTATGAGTCCCCACATAGGGGAAATATTTGTTGCTGAGATTAGTGGATACATGAGGTTGTTCTGTACCTCCTACCTAAACACATCTGGAATTATTTTTGCACATATCCCTTACAAAAATCACCCTTCCCTTTGCCTATCCTCTCCACTCTTTCCCTACCTACTTCTTTCTGTCCTTTCTTCCCTTCTTTCTTTACCTTTCCAAGGATTATGGATGTGGGGACTGACTAACAGAAAAAGGCCCATAAGAAAACATTATCAAATGACAAATGCCCAGCACAGATCAGTACATATTTGCCAAAAAATCAATGCAGTACTAGGGTCCAGAAGGGAAGATCCAGGACTGGTGTAAACCAAAGCAGAACAAAAATACACCAGTACCTGGAGGTGGTGCTAAAACATAGAGAGCAAAGTCTTTTGTCCTCCTTTTGACTCTACTGATGAGAGTTGTGCACACCGGGGTGTAGTATCCAAAGAAAAGCAGAAGAAATGTTCAGGGTGGATGGCTTCTGAGCTTCAGAATCCTGAATTCAAATGCCAAGATTACCTACAAAATTACTTTGGGAGAAAAAGTAACAAGCAAACTTGTATGTATAATCTTCTGGAAGAGGTTTTGAAAGTTATATTTAAATAACCAAAATCCTTTGTTTAGTGTTGTAAATGACACTAGAGTAGTTTCCATAAAATCAAAGGGGATTTGGTGTGTCAATTCCTCAGTAAGTTCTATTGACTCAAATGGGTCTACTCTAGTAGAAACTTACTTTAGCGTAGTAAGTCATAGAGTAGGCCCATTTGAATCACTGGAACCTAACTATGGACTCTTTAAGTACCCACTGATTCTATAGGCCTAACTTAGTGTGATTTGCGGTGATAAGCAACAGGATTTTGGCCCGTGGAATATATTAGAATCCTAGCTTTAGATAAAGAGAAAACAAGTAAAAGGACAACAGAATAGGAAGTGCTCTCCTGTTTCAAGTCAGAGTTGTTAAGTCCTTTCCTCCTAATTATTAAGATGACACTGAATAATTTGTTCTCCTTTCATTTAACTTTTGGGTCATGGTCAAAACACCACCCTCAAATGTGATAAGCTGTCTACAAATGAAAATGAAAGGAAATCCATTCAAATCCCAGCAGTAAACTGCTCTTTACCTCCCTTGATAGTACAAATTCTCATTTTATACCTGTTTTCTTACTAATCTGTGCCATCCTTTTATTTTGCAATATCTCTTCACCATCAGAATACTTTTTCAGATACCTTGTGAGATTCTTCGTTACAGTGATGAAGGCCAACCCTATCATTAAGCAGAATGAGGCAGCCACCACAAATGGCAGTTTTGAGGTGTCATGACTTCAGCAGTTAATTCTCATTTATTTCTTTGATTGGCATTATATTTATATTTCCAGGAATAGGAAGAATCCATAGTATCAAAAGATTCTAAGAATGCTCCAGGATTTGAACACCTCTTTATGTCTTCCATTGTCCATCCATCAGGATGGCCAGTTTCATAGTCAAATCTGTCTAAATTTTAATTGGAATTGATGGGAGGAAATCTTACAGTGGCATCACCCCAACACCTGTGACCACCTCCTCCTCAAGAATATGTGTTATTATTATTGTAGTCAAAGTCAAACTTTTTCAAGAGTGGCCTCCGAAATCCTACTTCATTAAAGATAGCCAGAACTACTCTCTGTCTAAAGGAGACATTTGGTACCTCCTAGCTATTTTGAGTTATTTTCTCAAACAAAAAATATGGCCATAATATCCCTCTAAAAGCCAGGTGGCCCACTTAGCAATTGTTTTGTCATTTAGTGGTTACTTTCCTCTTGGCAAACATGAGCTATCAAGAAGGATCAACTATCTGTACAAAAGTACAGGTAACCTATACAAAGTCAGGAGCAGTTTAGAGGACTTCAGAAGGAATAGGCAGACAGTGCTAGAACAGATTGACAGAGGGGCCACCTTCACCTGAACCACATCCAAAATCCTTTAGAGAGTGGATAAAGAGAGACACATTAATCTTCCTCTCTCTTGCTCTTGGAGGTCTCCTGTCAGACCACTTTCAGGTTCGTTGTGAGCTGAATTCACTAAAGTCCTGTTCCGACTAGGCCTAAGTGAAATCATTTCCTCAGTCCTCCGGTATCCAAACTGTAGCCAGAGAATCTGGTTAGCTCATGTTTCACTCCTAAATCCCTGTTTCTGGCCTAGATCTTTGCTACCTTCTCCTCTCTTGGGTTCTTTGGACAAGTTTACCATCTGTAAGAATTGCAACATTCTCAAATTCAACATGGCCCAACTCCTGGGGCTTAGCATAGTATATTGCAGTAGAGTCGACCAACTGAATGGATGGGGATTTGAAGAATCAACTTTCTGAGTTCCATTGACTCAAATGGGCTTACTCTAGTTGTGATATACTTTAGCATAGTCAGTTGTAGTTAAAATGGCCCATTTGAACTAGTGGAACTGATATGGGTTGATTCACTTAATCCCCATTCATGGGGGGGGGCGTGGTTTGCTGTCAATGAAGATGGTGGCATAGAAGATTAGCTCCGCTCTAAGCCCAAAAATAACAGACTAAATAAGTGTGAAAATTTGTAAATGAAAAAGGAAAATACTTTGACTTGCATAGATATGGGGAAACCAAATAAGATGCCCAAAGTAAAACATGCTGTAAGTCAATACCGACAAGAAAGAGAAGAAAAAGGAAAAGGGTCGGAAAGAAACTATAGGAGCTAATAAATAGATGAAGCTGCTTATAAAATAATTAAGAAAAGATTTACAAAATGATTTGAAGTGCCTAATCATGCCCCTAAAACATACCCTCTTAAAATTGTATTTTAAATGGAAAAATGGACACAGCATCAAATACTAGGCAGATATTAAGGGAAGGAGTTAAAATGGGGAAGCTATGAAAAGAAAGGGTTTAATTGATGGTGGATATATTTAAACCCAAAAGAGAGAGGTTACACTTTCTTTTCAAAGAAATGTACTACCCATTCAAGAACAGATCACATAATATTGTCTGAATCACTAGCACCACAATTTCATAAAATAGAGTTTGCCCCACTCATATCTTAGGTTAAATCAAGCATCAGCAAGTAGAACAAATTGTTGATGCTGCTTTTGAGATAGTACAAAGTCTACAGTCCAAAAACGATGAGTTGAAAAAGGAGATTTGAAAACTAAGGGACAGACTCATGGTACAGGAAAATAGATGACAAAGCCAGAATCTCTGTTTGAGACTTTTGAAGGAGAAGGAGAGTAATTTGCAACAACTAGTTTTGAACTAGATTCAAGAACTCTGTCCGTCTTTGCAGAAAACAAATAGAGACTTGGACCATGTCTATAGAGCTGGAGTGAAACCAAAACAAAATGCATGGAGAAGATATATAATTGTGAGATTTGCTTCATACGCAGTGAAAGCAGACATGTTTCATGCCCTGAACAATATTCAGGAATTGGCGTTTGAAGGAGAGAAATTGGATCTGTTGCAAGATCTCACATCAGAGACATAAACAATGGTGACCGTATACATAGATTTTTTCAAGAGAGAGATGTGGGGTTTTCCCTTTAAAATGATTATATGGCATGGAAAAATACCAAAAACTGTGACTCCATTTACACAAATGCACCATCTCTTTGAGCATATGAAGATTACCATCCCTAACACCCAGCTGGCAGAGCCATCCACTGAGTGAGCAGAAAAGTGAAAGAATACAGTTTTGCTGGAGAAAAGCAGAACAGGGGGAAAATCCTTGAAGGGATGAAGGGGAAAGTTGTCTGAATAGCTGATCTTCTCAAGGACATGGCAAGAGTTTTATCTTGAACTGAAGATTACTGCCAATGGGATGTAGCTGAGCAACTGTCTAATATACTGTTAAATATACTGAGTGAGCAGTGTTATTATAAAGAGAAAATAATGAAATGTAACACTGACATTAATAGTTCATGCTTATATAAAATTAAGTTTAAGATACAATGGTAGTGGCTAATTATGGCTATGTGTGCAAGCTGTTAAGTGCTAACTGAATTAGACTGAAAATATAACATGGCATAGAGAGAAGAATAATATATTTATAAACAAAAAGAATATAAAATACACATATCTTTAAAGCAAGCAGGGCAAAGCGTGGGTACAGTATGGGGTAATCTTCCCTCAGGGGCATGTTTAGCTCCTGACTTCCCATTATTCCACAAGGCTCAGCTCAGAGTATGAGCTGGAGGCATAGTCTCATTGCTATAGTGGGGATGGGGGGAGGGAAGGAGAACAAAACTAAGCAATCTTATTGTTTAAAACTAAGATATATAGATAGAATTCTCTGTAATACTTTGTATATGGACAAGAGAAAAGGAAGCAAAGTGAATTTTAAAAAGCATATCAGTGTTGGATAACTTTAATGTAATTTCATACAACACGAATGGCCTAGGCTCACCAGCTAAACACTATAGAATTTATCTATACAGTGGGGCCTCGCATAGTGAGGTTAGTCCGTTCCGGATTAACCTTCGCTATGCGAAAACATCGCTAAACGGGAATAAAAAAGCCATAGAAACGCATTGAACTTCGTTCAATGCGTTCCTATGGCTTTAAAACTCACTGTTAAGCAATGTTTTTCCATAGCGCCGCCATTTTTGCGCCCTCGGTAAGTGAGGGCAGGGCGCGAAAATGCGGCGCGGACCTTCCGGCGGCCATTTTGGAACCGCCGATCAGCTGTTCTCCCCGCTTCGTTCTGCGAAAATCGCTAAGCGAATTGCTTAGCGATCGCTCACAAGTGGGTGCAACGAAATGAGGTGCTCTTCCCCAAGGTAAAACTGGACAACACTACAAAAAAAAAGTTAAAATATACACAACTATAGGGGCCATCGCTGAGCGAACGCTCCAGCGATGGCCCGGACCCCCTCGCTATGCGAATTCATCGCATAGCGAAGCACTCGCTAAGCGAGGCACCACTGTAGTTTGAAACTATCCATAGTTTGGGAGCGGATGTGGTACTACTACAGGAACACATCAAAACAGATATTATCAAACATCCAACATCCAGATCAATATACTACAAAGAGAACAAGTAAATCAAGAGGAGTAGCTATATTTTTTATGAAGAAATCTAAATTTGAGGTAGTAGATCAACTGAGTGATCCAGAGGGTAGATGCATACTTGTGAGGGGAAAACTAGAAGATAGATTGATGACTATTGTGTCCTAGGTAAAGGTAAAAGTTCCCCTTGACATCTAGTCCAGTCGTGTCTGACTCTAGGGGGTGGTGCTCAGCGTCCTACTCTGCCCCTAATGCTGGACAAGCAGTATGTAGAACCTCGCTTGTCCCAGCTCCCGCCAACCTAGCGGTTCGAAAGCATGTAAATGCAAGTAGATAAATAGGGACCACCTTGGTGGGAAGGTAACAGTGTCCCGTGTCTAAGTTGCACTGGCCATGTGATCACGGAAGATTGTCTTCGGACAAAACGCTGGCTCTATGGCTTGGAAACAGGGATGAGCACCACCCCCTAGAGTCGAACACGACTGGACAAAAATTGTCAAGGGGAACCTTTACCTTACAAATTGTATTTTAAATAGAAAAAGGGACACAGCATCAAATACTAGGCAGATATTAAGGGAAGGAGTAAAAATTGGAAAACTATTGAAAAGAGAGGCTTTAGTTGACGGTGGATAGATTCAAACCCAAAAGAGAGAGATTACACTTTTCAAAAAAATATACTACATATTCAAGAATAGATACTAGAGCCACAATTTTATAAAATAGAGTTTGCCCCACTCATATCTTCAAATCATGCCCCAATCAAAGTACTATAGAGTAGCAATACTTTAAAAAATAAACCAAAGATTTAGAGGCTAAGATCTAACATGCTCAGTAACCCATGAATTATTGGAAAAAAATGAAAAAGATATTAAGCTGTTTTATAAAATAAATGATAAAGAAGAAATAAAGCCAACAATATTATGGGACAGTGTAAAATGTTACTTAAGAGGAAATTTCATAATGGAGGGAGCAATATTTAAAACAGGCGAGAAAAGCTGCAAAGGCAGTTAGAAGAAATAATAAAAAACTCTCAGAGGAATATGAGAAATCAGGTTCAAATAAGAGACTTATAGAGTTAACAAGAGTTATGTTAGAACTAGAAGCATTAGATACTGTATAAATAGAACTCAGATAGCTATGAACTACTTGAAGAGGAATTATTATGAATATGGAGATAATAACTCCAGATTGTTATCCAAACCTATAAAAAGTAAAACTACTAAAAACACAATTGTTAAAATTAAAACTAAAGAAGGAAGATTTGCAACTGCACACCAGCAAATATTAGCAACTTTTAGGGAATATTATTTTAAAAATTGTATGAAACAAAAGGAGTATGAGAGAAGATGTTAAAACATTTGTAAATTCATTCTTAATTAACCCAATTTCCGAGAAGCATAAAAATCAATTTACAGTATATCACAGAAGTGAGTACACCCCCTCACATTGCAAAAATATTAGTATATCTTTTCATGTGACAACACTGAAGAAATGACACTTGGCTCCAATGTAAAGCAGTGAGTATACAGCTTGTCTAAGAGTGTAAATGTGCTGTCCCCTCAAAATAACACAAGACACAGCCATTAATGTCTAAACCGCTGGCAAGAAAAGGGATTACACTCCTAAGTGACAATGTCCAAATTGGGCCCAAAGTGTCAATATTCTGTGTGGCCACCATTATTTTCCAGCACTGCCTTAACCCTCTTGAGCATAGGGTTCACTGACTCCTCTCCTCTGAATATGCTGGCCACAGAGACTGGCGAAACATTAGGAAGAAAAACCTCAAGAACATGGCCAGACACCCCGAAAAACCTACAACAACCATCGGATCCCGGGCATAAAAGCCTTTGAGAGTACAATATGGTAGCAGTCTGGATTATGGATCCCTGTCTGGAAAGATGGCTTCCTTTGAGTTTAATACTTCATAATACTTCTGAAGCACATGTGTTTTAGCATCTAGTCACTTGCAAGTAGCTTGCTATTTATGCTGATCTACCATAATAGCTGCTATTCTCAAATGCTATCTTTGCATATATTTAGATTCTTAAAGCATCCAGTAACATTCAATAGCTGTGAGTGATCTGGTGAGTGCATTCTATGTTGAGTCACATAACTGCCATGCTTCAGAGGTGCCTTACAGGGGAGTATTCTCAAAAGGCATATGAATTCATGAATGTGCTCTGAGACCATACAAAGTAAAACCTCCAGGATGACACACATGCCAGTCTGATGCCTTTCTCAACAGCAGTCTATAGTCTTGTCTTTTTCCTTTCCTTTTCTGGACAGGGAAACTGACATTCTGTGGAAGGATGCTCTAGCTGAGGTTACAGCTGCTCATTTTCTCGATTTCCCCCAAATGCCTCTGGATCAAGAGACAGTGTGAACTAGATCTGAAGAACTGGATTTTGATCCACATAACATCACACCAAAATCTTTTCTTTGCTTCCTTTAGCAGCATGATCCAGAAGTAGTTTGGGCAAATCCATATGTGTTGTAACCTTAATTAAAAGAAAAGGGGGAAAATGTCTTCACAAAATGCCTGTATGAAAATGTTAAACTTATATATCTATTATGAGAATGAGCACAGTATCACTGTCATGTGTTTTCATAACTGATGTATCTATCATTTTTTTTACTTTTTTTAAAGAAATATGTGAACAGAGGTATCCTATTAGAAATGGCAAATTCATTTATAATTATTGGACCCGACCCTTCATCGAGGGTAACAGAATCTCCTATTCTTGTGACAAAGGATATCTCTCTGCATATGAGAGTGCAACAGCCACATGCACAAAAGCTGGCTGGTCACCACCACCCAGATGTATCAATTTGACAGGTAGGCTTGACTTATGTTTTCCTATCTGATGATACCCAACCTGAGTATACATCCCCTTATTTGCTGGACCCGACCCTTCATCGAGGGTAACAGAATCTCCTATTCTTGTGACAAAGGATATCTCTCTGCATATGAGAGTGCAACAGCCACATGCACAAAAGCTGGCTGGTCACCACCACCCAGATGTATCAATTTGACAGGTAGGCTTGACTTATGTTTTCCTATCTGATGATACCCAACCTGAGTATACATCCCCTTATTTGCTATACCTTTATTTATTTATTTATTTATTTATTTATTTATTTATTTATTTATTTATTTATTTATTTATTTATTTATTTATTTATTTATTTATTTATTTATTAGAAATAATAATAGCCCCT